GTCTCGGAGGTTCTGAGTTGAAGTTGGCGGCGGATTTGTGCGGTTTGGAGTAGTAGGCGAGATGTGCGTCCACTTTGGCCTTGTGATGTCGCTCTCGCTTTATTTACCATTTTTAGTTATTTGACATCATTGTCATTATTATTTGATGGGAAAGCTATTTGGATGTATTCATGAGTTTGTGTTAGATGGATATATAATTTGGTGTTGACATATTCATGAGTTTGTGTTAGATGAGTTGTTAATATGTGAGGGAAATTGTGGCCAACTTTGTAAATAAAATTGTTTGTGAGCGAGCTTGTGGTGCGTGATTGCTTCTTTCTTTCGGGGGAGAGTGCCTTGATTGCTGGGGCGTGTCTACGTCCTCAGGAACCACAAGGTTCTGGGTTTACGGAATGGGGTGTAGTGTACAGTATATAGGCGTGTGTCTGTTGAGGTTTGCAATTTTATGAGAAATGATAATTTGGACTCTAGGGGCATTTGGGTGACCTAATGAGGTGCTTCACTTGTGTGATCTTGCATATACCTAAATGCCAGAGATTTCAATTTTATGAGAAATGTAGTATCTGTAGCAACGCCTCTGCAATGTGTGTGTGCACAAGTGTGGAATATTTTTATGCAGAATTAGGACTGTTTCTTTTGCTATGTCTTATCACTTAGTCTGTGCAACTTCTCCCTCTTCAGGAACTGCACGGTCGTGGGGTAACAGTTTTCAAGGTTGCACCTTAGATTAGACTGAGCTGTTGACTTGTTGTTCAACACAAAGTTGCATTAGATTAAACTGGATTCAGACATCTTCTGTACTACAGTGAACTAAAATTCCTGTGCGCTGCTTGTTATTCAAATGTCCTTAGGTCACACATGGTTCAGTATATAAAATCTTATGCACCCACTGAATTACTCTACCATTTTTCATAGATTACGGCACAGAGGCCCTGATTGGAGTGGTATACATAGCTTTGAGGATTGCTATCTTGCACACCAGCGGTTGGCTATTGTTGATCCTACATCTGGAGACCAGCCATTGTACAACGAGGACAAAACAGTTGTTGTGACGGTCAGTATCTGCAGTGAGAATGCCGTTTTACTGTTTTCATTTTTCTTATCTGTGCTTTTATGATTCATTTCCATGTATAACATATGATATTGTCTCACTATTCTGCTTTTGGTAACTAGCATTTCTTTGTGGATAATTTTGTGATGGGATTTTATAAATGTTGTCTCCAATCTCTGCTCATTGCATCTCTGAGAGACTGAGACACGACCTTTTATCCACTATATTTCTGTACCAATTGAGAAAATATGTTTTGTTCTTTTCTTTTATTTTAACCACATCTTGTCTGTTTGACTTTTCCAGGTGAATGGTGAGATCTATAATCATGAAGAACTGAAAGCTAAGCTGAAATCTCATCAGTTCCAAACTGGTAGTGATTGTGAAGTTATTGCTTACCTAGTAAGTTTGTACTCTTATTTCTCTATGTTCAGTTTCTTCTGGTGTCCTATTGTGTAGCTTGGCTTCTGCCAACACTTTTTATGGTCTTTACCTAAGCATCGTCCTCCAGTGCATATATTTTATTTGTTAACATTTGTATTTCGAACTATATTGTTTTCACAGTATGAGGAATATGGGGAAGAATTTGTGGATATGTTGGATGGCATGTTCTCGTTTGTGCTTCTTGACACACGTGATAAAAGCTTCATCGCTGCACGCGATGCTATTGGTATCTGTCCTTTATACATGGGCTGGGGTCTTGATGGTATGCAAAGATTTTGTTCTTATAGACACTTTGTCCCTTTGATCAAAATCATGAACATGAAGTTATTATCTTTTTCCTCCCAAATTTATCTTGGCCTGGACTTTTGGTATTGGTTTGCTTGGTCATGCAACTGTTTCAGTGGTCGATCCATGTATTACGAGGAGGAGAAAAACAGGTTGCATGTAGGCCCATTTAAATTCAGTTTGAGATTAGAAGTAGATATATCACCGCTTGCCTATTTCCTTAGAATAGGATTGGACAAGGCCAATTAATTTGCAAAAAAAATTAAAAGATAATAGCGCAGTGGTAAAGCTGCTGCCTTGTGACCATGAGGTCATGGGTTCAAGTCCTGGAAACAGCCTCTTACAGAAATGTAGGGAAAGGCTGCGTACTATAGACCCAAAGTGGTCGGACCCTTCCCTGGACCCTGCGCAAGCGGGAGCTACATGCACCAGGTTGCCCTTTTTATCATGGGCTCACATCCCACAAAATCTTGAGTGCTGTCTCTCACCACCTGTAGTTTGATAACTAGAATAAAGAGGTGCCACTCACTATCTGGATATATAAGACATATTGACATTTTTTTTCCATAATATTTGTTACTAGTTACAGAATCACAATCATAGGAACAAGCTTTTGAATTCGACTCAAACGGTATCAATTTTGTGTCACAGAACTCACATATCGTAGGGTTGTTTTTTTGGTCAAATATTTGGCCAACCAAATTATCTTGTATACCCAGACTAAGGGAGTGCCTAGGTTGTGATGCCTATGTTAGTGTGCAATTTGAATGTCTGATGGGAAAGATGTGGATAGACACAACGTTTCCCAAGCTGACTGTTAAATTTGTTATATGGAGTTAGCTATGCCAAAGATTCTGAGTTCTGTGAACTGTTGAAAAATATAGCTGGTTGTTTGTAATTGCAAGTACATCGTTCTGGAACAAGTAGGTACTGTAGTGTTTGTATCTGTTACAACTTGGCACAATTCTATGCATCTATGTAGTTGCTACTATGCCTTAATTTGTATGTTCATTGTTATTCCAGGGTCAGTATGGTTTTCTTCAGAGATGAAGGCATTGAGTGATGATTGCGAGCGCTTCATATCGTTCCCCCCTGGACACTTGTACTCAAGCAAAACAGGTTCAAATGACTTACTGAATTTGTGAAAAATTGATGATCTCATCAGGCATTATACCAGAAATGTAGATTTGCAAACTCGGAAAGCAAAATAGTATAAGCTACTGTAGTTGTTTCAGATATCCATTGGTCTAGCCTTGTAATCTGTTTTCTAACATTTATCCTAGGTGGCCTAAGGAGGTGGTACAACCCCCCATGGTTTTCAGAAAGCATTCCTTCAACCCCTTATGATCCTCTCCTCATCCGAGAGAGTTTCGAGAAGGTCACACCTTTCCTTATGCTCTCTGTTACATTTTCGTACCTTTTGATGCATAAAGTATACATTTATTATAGTTATTTCATGCTAATCTGTTCTTGCTTCATGTTGATATGATGTATCGATGCCTCTGATTAGGCGATGCTTGTTTGGAATACCCTGGTTTATAATTCATGAGTAATACTCCCTCTGTTTCTAAATATAAGCCCTTATAGAAATTTGAACACGGACTACATACGGATGTATATAGACATATTTTAGAGTGTAGATTCACTCATTTTGCTCCAAATGTAGTCTGTATTGGGATCTCTTAAAGGGCTTATATTTAGGAACGGAGGGAGTAATAGGTTATTGCAGCTCTCTTGCAATCACATTTATGTCTTAGTGCAATGATCTCTGTATTAAGATCTTAGATAGATGGCATGTTATTCAAAACCATGCTAATTTGTTATTAAGTATGTACAGAGTATAAATAAGTTATTGTGTCTGATGGTATATTTCATAAGAAGTTTCTTCATGTATATCATCTACTATATTTTCTTAGATGAATTGCAAATTTCGCAGGCTGTTATTAAGAGGCTCATGACTGATGTGCCATTTGGCGTTCTCTTGTCTGGTGGACTTGACTCTTCTTTGGTGGCTTCTGTTGTTTCACGGCACTTGGCAGAAACAAAAGTTGTCAGGCAGTGGGGAAACCAACTGCACACCTTTTGCATCGGTTTGAAGGTACATTTCCCAGTATTGTTTACTGGTCTATCCTCATTGCTGAGAATCACTTTAGGCCATCTTTCAAATTTTAAGGTGTTTTCTTGCTCTTATGAGTATCTTTTATAAAAAAAGGAGGAATGTTTAGTTGAGTGATACAGGCAGAGGATACAATAGGACTGAAACTTAACACGTTTCATTTTTTGTAGGGTTCTCCTGATCTTAAAGCTGCTAAGGAAGTTGCTGACTACCTTGGCACTGTCCATCATGAATTACACTTCACAGTGCAGGTTCATTTTTTTGTCCTTTGCATAGAGGAAGGGTCATTTTGTAGTTATTAATTCATCCGACGAAATCCCAGGAGGGCATTGATGCATTGGAAGAAGTTATTTACCACATCGAGACATACGACGTAACAACCATTAGAGCAAGTACCCCAATGTTTCTAATGTCTCGGAAAATCAAATCATTGGGTGTGAAGATGGTTCTTTCAGGAGAAGGTTCCGATGAAATATTTGGTGGTTATCTTTATTTTCATAAGGCACCAAACAAGAAGGAACTCCATGAGGAGACCTGTAGGAAGGTAAACAAAGACAGAATTGCTCTTTCGTTTTTTCTTGGTGCATATGCACAACATGGCCAGTTGATGAATTTATTAGAGTTGTTTTGACACATTTAGATAAAAGCTCTTCATTTATATGATTGTTTGAGAGCGAACAAAGGAACTTCTGCCTGGGGTCTTGAGGCCCGCGTTCCATTTCTCGACAAAAGCTTTATCAATGTAGCAATGGACCTGGATCCTGAATGTAAGATGGTATGTATTTTCGTGTGATAATACAGTAATCTCACTCTGGCTCTATTCATTTATTATAACTAGCATTACCATCTTCTTATCTTTATCATCTTGAAAAAAAATAGATAAGACGTGATATTGGCCGGATCGAGAAATGGGTTCTGCGTAATGCATTTGATGATGAGGAGAAGCCCTATTTACCCAAGGTTGGATAAGTTCATCTTTTTAGTGTGCTATACTTGCTCTGTTACTTGTGCAAAGCTTGCTTGTATGCTCATAAGAAAGATTTATTTTCTGTGAACAGCACATTCTTTACAGGCAAAAGGAACAATTCAGCGATGGTGTTGGGTACAGTTGGATTGATGGATTGAAGGACCATGCTAATGCACATGTATACCATCTTTTATTTGTCAAACCATTCATAAGCTGCTAGCTGTTTTTATTTGACTTAAGTTGGTTTTGTATCACTTTATCCCCATCAGAATTGACAGTTTCTCCTATTCATGTTCAGGTGTCGGATTCCATGATGACGAACGCTAGCTTCGTTTACCCTGACAACACACCCACAACAAAAGAGGCCTACTATTACAGGACTGTGTTCGAGAAATTCTATCCCAAGGTCCAGAAGCCACATCCAGCCTCTAATCTCATCATGATATTTCTGAGCTATTTCATCTGCATAGTAAAACTTAAATCAACGTTTCAAATGTGCAGAATGCTGCTAGGCTAACGGTGCCAGGGGGCCCCAGCGTCGCATGCAGCACCGCTAAAGCTGTCGAATGGGACGCCGCCTGGTCCAAGCTCCTCGACCCGTCTGGCCGCGCCGCTCTCGGCGTGCACGATGCGGCGTACGAAGAAAAGGCTCCTGCATCGGTCGATCCTGTCGTGGATAGCGTCTCCCGTTCACCTGCACACGACGTCAAAAGACTCAAAACCGCCGTTTCAGCAGCTGCTGTATAACCTTCCATAGTTCCATTCCTTGATTCCATAATGCCGTCGCTTAGTTTAATTCTAGCTTTCCTTGCAACTTGTCTGTAGTTCCTAAAATCATGCAGTGCAGAAATTGCTTTGCTCTACTTTTTCGTTCATGTTTTGCTTTCGCATGTATGTACCAAGTTAGTTTGTTTATGCAGTGAGCATTTGCGTTGTAAATAAATATTTCACCGTGGTTGATATCCTTGTGTTGCTTACCGTTTGGTTTGCAAACTGCAAAGTTGAATTAATAAATTCCAATGGTGATCTTTCTATGTTATACATATATTTCACCGTGGTTGATATCCTTGAAAATGTCATGAAAAGAAAATAAGTGTCATGCACAGCCATATCAATCATGTTACAGAATATTATAATCAGTATGGGCTGTATTCAGCGATTAGCATTCAACATGTTCGTATTCAATCTTGGATTAACTGGAATATATTGCCATGCTTTAACCTGCAGTCTGCACATGCTGACTGTATTGTTCCCGTTTTTCTGTTTGATTAATACATTTTGGAGACATGGAAGGTTGCACACAATTATATGAGGTAGTCAGCGATGTGGAATGTATACGTAACTAGGTTATTTGCACATTCCTATCCTCAAGACACGCATTTTTTTTTAAAAAAAACTTTGTGGAAAATGGCTTCAAACTCTTTTTTGTACTTGAAAACAACATTAACACGTCAATCGCGTTTTTTTATTCAGGAAAATGAAAACTGATCATCACCAGTTAAGAAAAAGAGCTGGTCAGCGAATATCTTCAATATATCAAAAGTTGTTTAGTAAACATCAATCAAAGGTTGTTAACAACATTGGCACTCCAACCATAACCAGGTTCTGCACGTGGACAAATCTCGAGAGTCGAGAGAAGATTGCTAACAGTACAAGACCAAAAATCATGAAGCTGACTGCAACTAAAAGTCAGCTGATATAACCAAAAGCTTGGGAAATACTCCCTCCGTCCCATAATATACTTATGATTCCCAGTAAAACAGAATTGCAGAAATAGCAGTGGCAATAGTATGAACCTTGAAAGAGGGCCGACGATAACAAAGAACAAAATAAAAGTAAGGACCAACAACCACAAGCTCAGGATACACAGATAACACCTTGGATGAACAAATGTGAGGTATGTATGCTCACAGCCAAAAACTCTCCAGTTATGGAACACCAAAAGTGATTTCACCTGAAAAATTACCAACAGAGAGCCCACTGCTGAACAGATGCAAGAACCCTAGAAGCATGAGATTGACAAAAACGCGAGATTTGTCACAGACATTTGCAATTCTAGCGATTACCAACAGGCATCCAGAGCACAGTCGCAACCCACTAATAATTTGCCCCAAGAAGGAAGAACAGAGAACTAAAATCCCTACTAGTGAAGGCAAAAGGATCACCTTTCACATGAAGGCAGGCACTGACCAAATCCACATCCCACATGACAACGCAGCAGATATCATCAATCACAAACCATCACCATAATTTATATCTATATATCGATCCAGGTTTAATTTGATTCCCAGCAGAATAGCAGTGCAGCGCAGAGAATTCTAGCAAGTTTTACCGATGACATAACTAACTGGAATATGTTGCCACGCTTTAACCTGCAGTCTGGACATGTTCGTATTCAATCTTGGATTAACTGGAATATATTGTCATGCTTTAACCAGCAGCCTGGACATGCTGACTCTACAGTTCCTGTTTTTCTGTTTGATTAATACATTTTGGAGACATGGAAGGTTGCACAAGCATTTTTTTTGAAAAAAATCTTTGTGGAAAATGGCTTCAAACTCTTTTCCTCCTTGAAAACAACATTAACACGTCGATCACGTTCTTTTATTCAGAAGAATGAAAGCTGATCATCACCAGTTAAACTGGTCAGCAAATATGTTCCGTTGAAGCAAATGAGATCCAACCCATCCGGCACACAAATTACAGGAAATTGGTGGAATTCTTCAATATAACAAAAGTTGTTTAGTAAATAACAATCAAAGGGAGTTAACAATATTGACATTCCAAACATAACTAGTTTTTTTCTTTTTGACAATCCCAACCATAACCAGGTTCTGCACCATGGACAGATCTCGAGAGTTGAGAAAAGACCACCATTAGTAGAACTGACAAAAAAAAATCATGAAGCCTACTGCAATTGAAAGTTGGCTGATATAACCAAAAGCTTGGGAAATACATATAACACCGACCTTGGATAAACAAGGTCAAGTCGTCAAGACAATGCTAACAACCTAAAACTCTCCAATTCTTGAACGAATGACACCGATGAACAGTGCCGTGCTAAAGGAAAACACTTCAACAACACTAAAATCGGATGGAACACTGACGCACGTGGCTAACTGTAAGGCAGCGTGCAAAACGAAGAACAGTGCCAGCGTGCAAGCTGCAGCTTCCAAAACGCTCTGCACTTATTTCCTTGTATTTTCCTGGTGTGGTGCCAGAGTGTAAAATGAAGAACAGAGCCCATTATGGATCACAGGCTACGTTGATTACAAATTGGGTACCAAACAACACTCTTCTGCTTAAGATCCACGAAATTGCAAAGATGACACATTGCAGAGGTAGGGCGCAGGCACCACACCAGATTGACATTTCGCATGGCAGCCATCAAAAACACAGATATGAGATGCCAGCTGTCAGTAAAACAGCAGTGCGGAAATACCAGCAGCAATTTTACGAATCTTGAAAGAGGGGCGACGATAACAAAGATCACATAAAAGCAAGCTCAGGGTATACACGTACCAACTTGGATGAACAATGCAAGATATGTGTGTAAAATATGAAACACAAGTAGTGATTCTACCTGAAAATTTTTACCCACTGTGAGCCCATTGCTGAAAAGATGCAAGGCCAACAACAGAAGCATGCCCAGTGAAACTTTGAAATCATTGATGAAAACAGAGACAGCGATTACCGAGAGGCATCCAGATCATATGGCACCCCTCTGATGATTTGCCTGAAGAACATGAACAGAGAACACAAATCCTACTGCATGTCATGCCCACAGCATCACACGAGGACGCAAAAAGGATCGCCTTTTCACAAGCGACGCAGCCACCAAGATCCACACACCCACATCACAATCCAGAATCCACACGGATATCATCAATCACATCATCCAAACATCACCGAAATTTTATAATTTATACTACTACTATGTAACAGCGATTCAGGTTCAATTTGATCCAGAGCAGAATAGCAGGCGCAGCACAGATAATTCTAGCAAGTTTTACTGATGATGACATAACTAACTACCACGGACACAACTGACTGTTGCATCTCTCGATCGGACGGACGGGGGCGGGGATCGATCAGAACGGGGCGAGGAGCTGGAACAGGGAGGGCTTGGGGTCGGACTTGATCACGCCGACGGCTATGACGAGGGGGATGAAGCCGTAGTGCGCCGCCACCTTGGCCGCGCCCATCGCCCACTCGCCCCACACGCGCCACTCCCGCGCCGCCGCCGAGCGCCTCGCCGCCGCGTCCGCCGCCGCCGCCGCCTCGGCCCGCGACATGCCCCTCCGCCCCAGGGCCCTCCCCGGCTTCGGCTGCTTCGCGGACGCGCGGGTCGGTGGCGCCATGGGCTGGGTTGGTTCGCCGGCCTGGTGCTGCTGCTGTTGGTGGTGGTGGAGTCGCCGCCGGTGCCGGTCGCCGCGCGATGGAAGGTGGGGGTGGGGTGGGGTGGGGTGGGGACTGGGGGTAAAACCCTACCTGATATCGCCGTGCGAATGGGCCGTTGTTGGGCTGCACAGAGGGACGGGCTGCCTTCCGGGTACGTACGTACGTGGGCCGGAAAGTGTTTGAAGATTTTGAGTAATATACCCAGTGTTTGATTTTACAACATCAAGTGAGGTGATTAATTTCACTCAAAAAAAGTGAGGTGATTAATTTTGGGGAGTCGGTCATAGGATGCTCAAGAAAATGCCGGAGAGAGAGGATGAGTTTTTTTCATAGAAAAAAAAATAGTGTCATCTTCTTCCTCACCCAGGTGTTGTATAATGACATCGTTGACCAACCTCTTAGCACCGCTTCTCTTGATTGCAAAGGCAACCATTGCAATATTTTTGCATCTGAAATTACTCACACTCTTTTAAAAAAAATCTAGAATTAATGGCAAAATATGATGAAAGTTATTTAGGAAGATTACACGAACTGAGTGTATGGATCCAACCAATTTGCAAATAATCATGCATACTAGTAGCGGGATATGCACATTAATTGCTTCTAGAATTCGTCTCACCATGCACATTAATACTACACAACACACATATATTTTGCAAATAATATGCACATTAATTGCTTCTAGAATTCATCTCAGCATGTACATTAATAGTACTACACAACACACATATATTTTGCAAATGTGCCACATTAATATCTTGACATTTCTTCTCACTATGAGCATCAAAGACACCAAAATGCATATATTGCTTCATGCAATTAATCTTAAAACAAGATACGGCAAGATCACATATCTCATTTATTTGTTAGGAAAAATATCATGACATACCATTGGTGGGATGTGTATAAATTGAGAGCACCGAGTGCCGGAAAAGAATCACCATCATCTTCTTCCTCGACTAGGTATTGTACAATGGCATCGTTAGCCAACCTCTTAGTGTCGCTTCTCTTGATTGCAATCTTCTCTCCTACACCCATACTATGCTATCTTAATCAAGCTTCTGTAAGGGTACAACAGGGTGCTACCAACACCTCTGCCTACCACACTTACATCGTGCTCGTTGAGCCACCACCCTTTAATGCCGATGAAGACATGTACCATCATTGTTATGAGTCCTTTTTGCCCAGTTCGCGTGATGGCGACTCGGGCAAGGCACGTCTTGTGCACTCTTACACCAAGGTGTTTAGCGGCTTCGCCACAATGCTCACTGATGGGGAGCTTGATGCAGTTGCCAAGAAACCGGGGTTCGTGCGGGCATTCAAGGAGAAGACACGGTACCTCATGACCACGCGCACACCAAAGTTCCTTGGGTTGAGGAACAGCACCGGGTTTTGGAGGGACGCTAGCTACGGTAAGGGGGTCA